AACCATTAAGGCCCCTACATTAGGGTAAATTGTTGTTGCTTCTCGCTCGAGCCTCAAGCTCATGCCATAAATGCATGCAGGGCTTTGGGTTCAGAGGTCAGTTTTCCAGCTAGATCAGAGTATGTATTCAGGGTTTGTAATGCGCTACATACTGATGGATCCCACTGAGCTTCTAAACCCTAAACCCTAAACCCTAAACCCTAAACCCTAACCTCGAAGATCTTAAGAGCCCGCGTTCGGAAGTCCCACGGTCCCAAGCAAAGTCGCTGCGGCTTGATTGTATGGTCGCGTTTCCACTCCAGCCAGGTCCTGTTCAGTCCCGGAGACAGCCCTAAAACCCGAACCCTGCATGCGTGTAGGTGCAGTAAGTATGGTGGTGTCTTCGTCCTCGGGCTTAGGATGCAGAATGATTGGTGTTGGTTTATGGTTGAAAGGCTGTACGCCGAAACCTTGTTTTAATCTTGAAGGCCCTTCTGCTACGCCACTACAGAAGAGGCCACAAGTAGCCTTTCACGGGGAATTTGCCCTCTGCAAACTTTGCCCACTGCAAGTTGCGAAGCTGTACAGACCAGGGCATCAGCCAGAGCCATAGTAGTACCAACAGCACATTGAGGGATGAACTAGCAAGCGTGATTTCTCATCCTGCCAACGGCATTGTGACAAGAGCAGCACCGATCCTCGCGATGACAACAGCAAGGATATCTCCGGCAAGTGCTGCTTCTGATTTGTATGTTGTCATGTTCGTAGTGTCTGCTTTATCAGTCATCATCATTTCGTGACCCTCAACATCGTCGTCATCACCATCATCACCACTAGCATCCTCATCCTGATCCTCCTCTTCATCATCGGCATCATCACCATGCTTCTGACCGTAGCCACCATCACCAGAACTGTTTGCATCGCTCTCCACGGTTTTTGTTGACATGTTCTTGGCACCATCACCAGAACTGTTTGCATCGCTCTCCACGGTTTTTGTTGACATGTTCTTGGCAATCTGCCTGCCAGACTTTTGACTTCTTGACATACCCAGAGACTCCAATATCCCTTAATTAAGGAATATACCGTAAATTATAGTAGGATCCCTAATAAGATTTAAGGTATATTCCTTAATTAAGGGGTATTGGAGTCTCTGGGTACCTGCCGCTGGTATCTTCGAGCAGCTGGAAAAGATAGACCATGGGCCTCGCTTTATGATGCCCTTAGCCTCAAACGAAGCTCTTTTACCATGGCCAAGACCCTAAGCCCCTAACCCTAAACCCCCAAACCGAGAGAGCGATGGTTGAGTCAGGGTTTAGGGTTTAGGGTTCCTGCAGTGAGAGCGACTAAGTTGTCTAGCAGCTGTACATGGTAAGGGGTATGACTGCCTTGATGTAGTGTAAGCCCCTGGTGGCAGGCTCCAGACCTGCAACATGCGTGCGGAGAAACAGCTACTACACATTTTCAACAGCCCTAAACCTAAGGTAATCATGATGGTCCGGTACATGCACCCCGACATGGGGCCCGAGCACTACAAGGCCCAGACAGGGCCGAACTCAGATCAGGCTGCACCCGCTTGGGCTCGTTATGCCGTAGTATAGGGGCCTAAATACCCTTACGTATACGATTCTGCGGTTGCTTATTTTGGTTGTAGTATATACGACCGAAAGCCTTCTATATGATCGTTATTCCTCAGTATCTTGTATGACTGTAGTTGTTCGTGTGGGTGCTCCTGGGACTCCCCAGAATGGTCCTTCAAAGGCTGTGGCGCTTGGATCTCGCGTCAACTAAAGGATCCCACCCTATAGCTAACCCTAAAGCCTAAAGCCCTAAAGCCTTAAACCCTAAGCCGTAAACCCTAAAGCCCTAAAGCCCTTCACCCTAAGCCCTAGACCCTAAAGCCCTAAACCCAAAGCCCTAAACCCAAAGCCCTAAACCCAAAGCCCTAAATCCTTAGTAGAAAAGGCCCTTCAAAAAAAAGTCCTACTAAGGATCTCCGCTTGCTTTGTGTGCACGACGATTCCCTGTTCTCTCGTGGCCCATAGAGACCTTCGGCCCGGAACCTGCAAGTTAGGAGTAATATAGGGTTTTAGGGTTCAGGGTTTAGGGTTTAGGGTTTAGGGTTTTAGGGTTTTAGGGTTTAGGGTTTATAGCTTTAATAAGTACCTAAATTATGCTGGGGGTTCCTCATCATAATCTAGTAGAATATACCCCCAAACCCCATTCTAACTATCAAGGCCGCTACATCACAGTAGGGAAGTAGGGAACCTTTAAAATTGTTTGGGGTACTATAAGCCCTGGATAATCTCAAAGTTTTAACCTTTAGTTGCCCTAGGATACTGGACAAGTAAGTACCGTAAAGCCTAAGCCCTAATCCCTAAACCTTAAACCCTAAGTTCACACTGAGCCTTCCTTTCATGACAGAAACGGCTCACCGACTGCTGAGACAAAGTCGCTTCGTAGGGAAGCCGCCCTGTCACTGTCTTCAGAGGGGGATTATGAAGCCCTGATATAAAAGCCTAAATAATTACCAATAGTATTTTGAGGGGTTCCCTTTTGTATTTATGGTATAGTATGCCCCAAAACCGTATTCTACTTCTTAAGGCCCCTACATTAGACCCTTAGACCCTAAACCTTGCAGTGTCTAGGGATTCGTGCTTGTTTAGGGAGGTGCAGCATATCCGCTGAGTGAGAAAAGTAGACCCATCGTGGTAAACGTGGCAGTGATGGTATAAGTTGAGATGCTCAAGAATTCAGGGTTCCGGTTTTACAATTTAGGGTTAGGGTTTAGGGTTGAAGAAGCACACCCGTACCAGCAGCGGCAATAGAAGCATTACCGCTCTGGTCTAGATCCGAAGCCCAACGTGCCTCCAACCACGAGCACATAGCCCTAACTCGAATCCACGATCTCCTCGCATGGCAGGGCAATTTGCGAACGCACTTCGAGGATATTCCCGTCGAGATGCAGTGATGGACCGTTACATATCACGGCCGTGGGTCTAATACGCGTTGCCTGGGACAAAACCGTCAAACCCCAAGCCCTTGTGCCCTTGTCGACTCCTTAACAGAACCGCCCTTTTGGGGGTTCTGACAGAACCCCAAAAGGGAGCCGAAACCCTGACTCTTAACGGCAACTCAAGACAGGAACCCAGAGATGCTCATGTCGGGGCCTAAATAATCACCAATAGTATTTCGGGTTTACCTTATTGTAATTACAGTATAATATACCCCAAAACCATGTTCTAACTATTAAGGCCGTTATAGTATCTCAACCCATGTGATCTTTATGTGGGGGGGGTCCTATTTCTTAGATCCTTACAGACCGCACCATCCTCAGAGGCCGTAAACCCCGGTTAGTAGTGTAGGGTTTAGGGTTTAGGGTTTCGGGTTTAGGGTTTCGGGTTTTGGGTTTAGGTTTTAGGGTTTAGGGTTTAGGGTTTTGGGTTTAGGGTTTCGGGTTTATAGGGTGTAGATGCCGATTAGTGATGGACACATCTCTGCTGCCCTGACACTCCTCCTAACCCTGGGGTTTGGGGTTTGGGGCTGTAGGGCCTAGAGTTGAGGTTTTATGTTTTGCGGTTCAGGTCTAAGATTTAGGATTTATCGGTTTATTTGGCGGTTTGGGATTTCGGATTGCATCAACGGGGAGCACAAGC